AATCCACTGACATGCCCTCCAAAATTTCATTTGACTCCAAAGTCAATTTGGCATGGGCACAATGGCAGTCTTGATAATAGGGGAGCCCAGGGACCTCAACATATTTTTAATAGTCTCAACAAGAGAGTAAGAAGGCCCTAAGATTACAAAGATGCAGTTGTGTTATGCCTTACTAATATTCCTTGTCAAGTACCAAGTAGCTCTGTAAGTTGACTTGGGAATAAAAATTAACTTGAAAGAAAAGAAAAGAAAAGAAAAATATGACATAGCAAGTGCAGAAAGGGACATATAACTTACTTCTGGAAGAGCTGGGAAATGTTTCACCTTAAATGATTGTCATTTGGAAAACCATCACTTTTTAGGAAATTAAAGTAGAAAATCATACCTTGGGCAGGGGAATTCTTTTCCCTAAACAAATGGGCTATCACATTAGACATTATTGCCTAGTAGCAGTGGAAATAAACCCTGAGGAACCCCTATCTCATGTATAGGATGCAATAAATGAATGTGTATTCCCACAATACAGGTCCTCTTGGGCATTGCTTCAGCAATATAAAAGAATATAAATTTAATGTTTTTATTATTCTGTTAATAAGCATCTTCAATCCAGAGCACAGGATGAGGAAGCTGCAAGTCAAGAAACTGCCTCAGTGCCAGAAATGTAGAAACTGGCTCCTGTTCAGTGTTGCTCAGATCCACAATAGGTATTGATTAGGACAAAAACCATAACCACTTTCTGCAGAAACTGTGGAGAAGCCACATGAAGAACACAAACCATGACACTTAAGAGTTAGCATTCCATACAGAAGCAGTGCCAAATTGCACCTGAAACAGCAGGGTTAATAAGGATGTACTGTACCATTCCAAATTACAAATGTTCAGCTGAATGACTGTTAATTGCAATAAGCAAATTCACAAAAGAAACAATGGTTTGCTGCCCTCTTTCTCTCTCCCTCTCTCAAGTTTACTTCCAGAATTAAAAATAACCTGTTGATGCCACCTCTGGGAAGACAGGACTGGGAATGATCCCCCTCTACAAACACATAATGGCCATTTTGTTTAGGAGATATCAGAGCAATAACTTTTCTGCATCCCCACTCATCAAGAGTCACCAAACCCTTTTTGATAAGAGGTAATAAAATTAGAGCTGCAGTAAAAAAAAGGCTAAACCTCTCAAGCACAATATCAGAGAAGACTATAACCAGTACCCATGCAACAAGATATTTGCCAAATAGATCTCCCAGAAGATTCTGAGAAGGTGGCAAGGGGAACACAAGACAATTCTTTGCCAGGTTCACCTGTGGGAAAAGGTTTTGTGGTGACACAAATCTGGCAATCACAGTATGCCTGTGAGCAAGATCCACCACAAACCACCTGATGACTTAATGTCACCAGCCCTTTCTACATCCTGTCTCTGACTAACTTCCAGTGCCTCAGAGGCAGTTGAAAAAAACCTCACAAGCCAAATGTAGATGGGGCAGAGGACCAGAAGTAGGCCTGAAACTTGGGAATGATTACAGTACAATGTCAAAGGTCAGCAGCTCAGCTGTTTTCAGATCCCCTTTGGACACAACAAAGCATCATGCCCTGATTTAAAACCATGTAGGTGTTTGTTCCTGGAGTACTGTTTGTTTGCTTCTTGGAATGGTTAGAAAGCTTTTCAATCTAAGTATACCCACGACCAATTTATGACCATGCATCACCATTTTAACATAATCCTTTCATTTAAATAATACTCTTTCCTTGATATTTACTGCCTGAATCACACTATTTTGGCTTAATTTGGCTAGTTGAGGAAGCTAAGTCAGCTTGCTTGCAGCTCCCACTGAAGAATAGAGATACTCTGCTCCTTGCCACCCCAAGTATTCCTCTTCTGCACCTGTGGCAACCTGAGTCAATCTTTTCTGACCGTAAGTCACCAGAACTGGACGCAATTTTCCAAACAAGGTTCCTCTGCTGTACTGTGCCATATTAATACTTCCCTTTCTCCACTAAAAATACCATGTTTGTGCATCATAGACTCAAGTGAGTCTTTTCCATAGCCATTCTGCTGGCAGCTCACAGTCATTTTCTCATGGAGGAACTCACCCCCATAGTAAGGTCAGAGCAGTAGACCCAAGGCTACAGCATCACCACCCCCCTTCTTTCACTATACTGTTTTAGGCACAGGGTATTGCTTCTAGCCTTTTTAACCTTGGACAAATCCTTGCTTTGGCAATTGTTATTTGCTGCTTCTTCCACTATCTCTAAGTAAAAATCATCATCGGGTTCATCCATCATGTCAGCCTCAGGAATTTTCCCCATTCCTCTAAGTTTGCTGTTCTGCAATCCCAAGTCTTAGTCAAATATCTGCATTTGTTCCTCTTGCAGTTTAACTTCAGCTGGATTAGTTTGTGATCACTCAGTTCATGATCAGTTTCAACACTCTGGCCTTCTACAAGGTCCTTGCTGCTTATTAATACCAGTCCTAAAATAGCATCCTCTCTCATGGACTGTTTGCTTGAGAAATCGAGTTTCTACAACACTCCAGAACATTTAAGCCCTACCAGTTCCCAGTGGTACCTTCCAGTCTGTAGCTGAGAAATTAGTTTCCCATAATCACATGCCATTTGCTCTTCTATGTCTTCCAAATAGTTTTTGGAGATAAGTATCCCTGTCCAAGTTTGTAAGGGATTATCACTCTTCTCTCAGTGGATTTCTTTTATTCTTTCCTCTCAGGTGATTTTCCAATGTAATGCACTATTATTTTACTTCTTCAAACAATTTACTAAAATACAAAGCTACTCCATGGTCTTTACTACAATTTCTCCTGTTTTAAGTAGCTATCCCTCCAATAACTATATTCTAAATAATACTGCCAAACAGAAGTGTTCAGCATATCACAGCAGCCTTGAGACAACACTTAAAGCCCCAGAGTAAACATTGCTTGTAACACAGAATTCCAAACCAATTAAAGACTAAACATTGGTGACATATCTTGCTGTAATAATTGTATTAGAAATCGCTAAAATTTTGGAGTCACAGTATGGAAAAAGAAAAAAAAACCACCAAAGCAATTGAAATGCTAAGTATTTCATCAAATCATCACTTTATCCCTTCGTCAACAGACAATTTTTTTTAATGTGAAAAGGCTTCTGACATCTTTAAATAGTATAAGAATTTGTTTTCTCTCTTTGGGGAAGAATACATCAGCATAGCTGCTAGAGCTACAGGCACTGGAATCCTATTATGTTTTCTCCATTTTTTTTCTTTTTTTTTAGGGCAAAACAAGAGGACACGTATACAACAGCAAAAAGAGTGGCAAAGGAGGAAATTGCAGGTTTGTCTCTGATAGAAACTTATTTGCAGCCCTGCTGCTGGAGAAATCCAGGCTTGGTGCACAATCCCTTCTGCTGGTCCAGAGCCAAGCAGTCTTGAACAAGTGATGAGAACATGCAAGACATCCGTCTGAGACTGTCTTTCTGATGGCAGGTTCACGGCATCCTTTCAAAAGCCGCAGTTGTCTTGACAGCTAAGCCAGGCTTTGACTGGGGACAGCAGCAAAGGCGGGAGAGAAGGGGAAAGAGGGAAAGCAGAGAAGTGGGATGAGGAGAAAAACAGCACACAGGAGGGAATTAGCAGTGCGGCCAGGCTTCGTGATTTAGCGGCTGGTGAGGACAGTGCCGGAGCTAGAGATATTGAGGTTTCAGGGCAGCGTGGCGTGGGCGGTGCGGAGAGCCGGGGGATATGAAGACCGAGGAGGGTCAGGATGGATTTCGGGACGCGTGGAGATGCTGCAAGCGGCAACTATGACGCAAAGCTTGTCCGTTCAGGATCACGCATCCAACTGTTCCTCCCTAGCGATCCCTCGATAAACAACGTCCAAAAAGGACGGTGACCTCATCCCACTGAAATTAGCCAAACACCACACATTTCTCCGTGTTCAGCTCTGCACATTCCTTAGAGCTGCGGCTCTCCCGGCTGCCAGCCCCACCGCTGCACCCAGGGCTCCGAAGGCCCCTGTGGGGCAATTCCTCCAGCCCACCATGGACCAAAGGTCCGGCTAAGCCCCCATCCCATCCCATCCCATCCCCGGCTGGGCATTCCCGGCTCCGGCTGAACCCCCGCGCCGCTTCTGCGCCAGAGCCGCCTCTCTCCCTCTCTCCCTCCCTGCAGCCCGGCGAGGCGGCGGGGACACGACAAGCCACGACAGCCACGGATGCCCCGCGTGAAAGCGTGACCGCCGGTACGGGCGGAGCACACGCCCCGGCCGGGACACGCTGCGCAGCCAGCGGAGCACGACGCAGGCATTCATTTCACCTGGCTGCCGGGAGCGGCAGGTTCTGTGGGCTGCCAGCGCCGCCCCCTTTCCCCGGTCGCCCGCGGAGGGGACGCGGGCGCTGCTCGCACCCCCGGGATCGCCCCGCAGCCCCTGCCCGCCGCCGGGGCTCGGCGCTGGCACTACGGCCGTGGCTGCGGGGCGCCCCGGCCGGGCTGTCCTGGGGGCGAGCGGCTCAGGCTCGCTGCTCTTTCCTGATCTCTTCCAGACCCTTCTCCCGCACCCAGCTGCTGTTTTCGCTCCCTCCCGTTCTTCCCAGTGGTATTTTCTTTGTTTAATAAACGCTGTTGTGTTCGAGGCGCCTCTTTCACCGGGGCTGTTGCATCTCCCCCGGGACAGGCAGGGGAAGCGAGCGGCTCTCCCGCTCTCCCGGAGCCCCGCGTCCCGGCGCCATCCCCCGCGCCCTTCCTTCCCCCAGCGCCGAGCAGCAGCGCCCGCGCTCGGGCCGAGCCCCCCCGGCTCCGCCGGCACCGCGCCGGCCCGGAGCGGGACGCGCCGCCCGCCGCAGCCCAGCCCGCGCCTCCTTCCCCGGGCGCGGGGCCCCTTCGCCCGAGCCGTGCCCGCGGGAGGGGGTGACAGCAGCATCAGGTGCAGCCGGGGCCAGCGGCCAGGGCAAGCCCGGCCCCCGGCTGCCGCCTGCGCGCTGAGCGGCTGTGCCGGGCCCGCCCTCGGTGATTGGGAGGAGCCGGGAGAGCAGCGGGCTTCGCCGGGGATTTCCAGCCCGAGCGGGCGGGAGAGGAAGTGCGGGGCGGGGGGAGACGGCGCACAGCGGTCGGGACTTTCCGCCGGGCTGGCGGTCGCCTTCGCCCGGCTCCAGCTGCCGCCCGCCGCCCCGCTCCCCGCACACGCTCGCAGGTAGGGCGGCCGCGGGGCTCGGCTGGGCTCGGCTGGGCGGCGGAGAAGGAGGAGGGAGGGCGGGAGCTTCGCTGCCGCCGTGGCGGCGGCTCCCGCGCGGGGCGGGCACGGGACGGGGCCGGGCGGGCGGCGGGAGCCGGGGGCGCTCCGGCGGGGGCACTGAGCGCTGACCGAGGCATCTGCTGCCAGGCAGGGGCCGAGCGCGCTGCACCCGCAGCCCGTGCCGGGACCTCGGCGGCGGCCGGTGCCCGGGGACAGATCAGCCTGCGGCGGAGCGGCGCGGACTCTCCTGCCCGGACGCACTCGCACTCCAGGGCTTTGCAGGTGCCCCTTTTCGCTTACTTATCCCTGCCTCCCCCTTCCCTCCCCTGCTCCCCTTCGCTCTCTGCCCCGCTCCCCGCGGTGCGTGTGCCCGTGCGGGGCGCGGAGGGAGGCGAGGCCAGGAGCGGAGCTGGGAGCCGCGGCGGCGCTTGCGGCGTTTGATGTGTCGTTTGAATGCAGAAGGCTCGCTCGCTCCTGGCTCCCTCCATATGCAGTGCTGGGGGCGGGCCGACGGCCTTTAAAGGGGCATTGCCGGCAGCGCCGCGCCTGGCGCGGAGCGCGGTCCCGGCTGCGCGTCCCCCCGGCTGCCGCTGCGGCGGAGCCCCCGCCGCTCCCCGGCCATGGGGCTGCGCCCGGAGCAGCCGGAGCTGCCCCTCGTCGGAGTTGTGTTTTCGCAAAGTCCGCCTGCCTGCACCGGCGCTGCGCTATCCCCGTCTGCCTGCCGCGAGCGGAAAGAAAAAGTGTTTTGTTTTCACGCCATTCATTTCGTGCGCTGATTCGCGACGCCGCGTTTTAGCGCGTTGAATGAATCGCCGTGTTGTAGGTTAGGAAAAAAAAAATCATGAATGTTTAAAAGTTTATACTGAGTCATTCCTCTGCAGATTAACCTATGACTGACTCATAATCTGAGAACTGCAGTGGCTTGTAAAATAGGAAGGTAAGGCATTTACGTCTTGATTTATTTGTGTATTTTGAGTGACTGAGATCTGAATTACCTGCAGAAAATCAGGAGAAATTGTATTAACGTTAAGAGGCATAATCTCATGTTCTGCCGGTCAGAGCTTGTGTGTGACGTGACGGACTGTATGTGCTCCTCTGCGAGGATCTTCAGCACGCATTAGGGCATCTTTCATCTTTTGCTGTTTCTGTAGTAGTAAAATGTGGGAAGTTCCAGTGATACAATTTGAAATATGCTGTCTCTGGGTCTGTGACTTCTCTAGCTTGTTGAGATCTGAGCCTTATATGCTTTATATTGTAATTTACGTGTTTTCTGTTTTTTGAGTGGAATGGTGTGTTTATCCTTGCAGATTTGTCCCATAGGATGCACGTAGCATTACTGAGCACTAATCTGGACTTGCATTCATAGACTGGAAAGGAGTTTAGTGCATGGTGCAAAGGCATACTAGCAGTGTCTAGCTTAGACAAATGAAATAGTATAATTTGAAGTAGTTAGTAAACATCTGCATTTAAAATGGCCATTGACTTGCCTAGAAGCCTGGATTAAAAGGCTGCACTGCTGGTTGTTCAGAACTGGAGAGACCATACCATATACTGTATGTTGTCCTTTTAAACGAGCCATTGGCTCATACCACATGTGGATTGAGATCCAAATGCTATTTGTGGAGATTAGGGAGAGGGCTATTCATTTAAGGTGAGAAATACTTGAACATTTGGACGGATTCAGTTTTTTATGGCTGCCCTGGGAAACCCCTTGTCTTAGAGCTTGGTAACGGAAACATTGATGTATCATGAGCTTGGGCATTGCAAGCAGGCAGCACTAGGGGGTTATAAAAGTTGGGTTGTTCCAGCACGAGAATGGTAGGTGTTTTACTGAAATATGACTTGGTGAGTTGCTTCTAATAATAGCTGGACCTAGAATATAGAATCATAAAGTGCATTCGGTATCAACGCAAATTAATTCTAATCAAAAGGGGGTGCTAAATGACTCAGTCTTTAGGCTTTCCTGAAGTCCTCCTGTAATTAAGTTTGATGATACCAATTTTGAGAAGCCATTCTTGCATGGATTCCGAGAATTTGAGTATCGTGTAAGCATATTTACTGTTGATACATCAGCATCAGTGACCAAAGATTATTTATGAAGTCTTACTAGTCCATGTAAATTCAGTTTGTCTTTTAAATGATCTTGGGATCATGTTGTATTTTAGGTCTTTACATTGTTCTTGTCCATAATGAACACTTAAGGAGAGAAGAGGAATGTCTTTCTGGTACTGAAGTCCAGCTCTTCTATAGTAGATATGGCAATGCTGAAAATACAAAAAGCCAAAAACCTTGATTTTTGATTGATAAGCAGCTGATCATAGTTCTTCTTCAGATGAAAAGGCAGCTTAAAAATAGGAATTACTTGAATCCCCTCCAATCCTAAACTGGCCTTGTAAGAATAGATATTGTAAAAATACAACATTCTGATCTCTTATCTCTTAGATGATGTAGTTACTGGATTTTATTAGGGTTTTTTTATTATGATAGTGTTTCTTAGTTGAAGGTGCTGCATCTTATGATGTGTGAAGATGGCTCATTACACATTGGTTTCAGGTATCTGTATACTGATGCACAGTTCCTTTAAAGAATTGCTAAGGCTTGAGTTTGTGTGTGTTTGTTTGTTTCTTTAAGCTGTGGATACTTTCTGAATAGAATGCTTGTATCTGAAACCTCCTTGAATTTTTGGTGTCTGGCTCAGGAACACCAGAAGTGGTGGGAGAAATTGTAGATATTAAGATGAAATATGGGGAAAAGAAGCCAAGAGGAGGGAGAGTTGTGTGGTTTTGTGCAGCAGAATAAAGGTGTGATTGTAGTACAAGAGGGAGTGCTGTACTTGCACTAGGTTTTATCTTAAAGTTTTCAACCTGTGATGATGAAATGGTGCTGTAGAAACTACAGTAGTAAGGGGCTGGCAGAGAGGATATAACTGGTTTCCCAGCTCTGCCTGCTGGCATCCCATGCCCTCATAAATGGATAGTTTAGGGTGAGTATATTTAGTTTTGACAAATCACAAATGTTTCATTTTTTTTGGTCTTTTTTTCTTGCAGCAGGAGGAAGGACTAGAGAATTGGGAGAAAAAGGGAGTCACCTTATAATGAGCTATCATTAGGTGCCTACAATGTAGCAAGATGTGTTCTCTCTCTTTTTGTAATGGCAAAGAAGAGAAAAGGATATAAATGCAAAAAAGCTCTCAGGATATCTAAGGGAAGTAAGGAAAGTATCCAGTGGAAACATCTTAGAACTTAAGGAGAAAATGAAGCAAAGGATGATTTTGCTATTGAGAATTCCATATGTGTCTGAGTGAGGGAGAGATATTTATCTAGTTTTTGAGGGCGTTTGTTTTCTTCATGTACATCTTCTCTTCTGGAGCCCTGATGGAAAAATATCATTGCCACTGTGACTTCAAATTGCTACTGACTGTTGGCTTTGTAACTAGGTTAACAGGGCGAGTGTCTCTAAAATTATATACAACAACTGTAGGTCACTAATCCTCTCCACCCCCCAAAAAATGCTAAGCCTTTGATTTCCATGCTGGTGTTCTTCCCCGCTGCTTTACTCTGCATGTATAAAATGTGATTTCAGTACAATTTCAGGTTCTGCTGTTCATCTAGTCAAGGCAGCTTGGGAAGCAAAGTCTCAACATGTTTGTGTTTGCAGAAGTTCAGTATTGTATGTGTGTGTGATGGATTCCATCCCCTGGTCACTCCTTCTACTGAAATTTGGGGTGTTGTGTACTTGGGCATCAAGATTTGAATTTTTGCCAGTTGCAGGCTATAGAATCTCAGTGGGCATAGCAGGAGTGCCTTAAGTTGGAATATTTCATAGTTCTGGTATTATTTTATATAGTTTCATAAAATAGTAAAATAGTTTTCTTTGATGTGTAGAGGAAACATTCTGTGGATTGCCATGATAAAAGTTGCTACTAATTCTGTAGTAATGTATATGCTCTGAAGTGAATCTTTTCATGCACAAATAGTAAACACTTCTCAAAAATATTTGTGAAAGATGTCATGAATCTTCCATTTTACATGTTTTAGTGATGACTGTAGGTACTCATAATTAGAAAAAATTAATATTTGGAGTAATACAGGACTTTTGTCTCATGTTTTGGTTTCTGCATCAATGAGAAAAACATATTTTTGTAGATAAAGTAAGATATGCACACGAAAGACAAGCTCAAAATGCCATGAGTCTTTACAGCTTTCTTAGGTGTCTAGGAAAACAAGAAATTTGGATTGCATCTGTCTTGCAAAGTGTGTTGCAGATGTTAGTGTAAGATAAGTGCCTTCTTGGCTGCCACTTTGTTTCTGCAAGCTTTGACACCTCTCAAGAAAGAGAAGATGGTCTGCTGCAGGTGCCAGTGTAAAACCAGGAGACCTGGAGGCTGGGCTTTGGCTTTCTGTCATTCCTGCAGATGTGTGTCCTTAGGGCCAAACCAGCCAGGGGCTTTGATGTCGCAGTGCTGAGTGATGTGACATCATGTCCGAGTCCCAGGGGCAGAAGGGGGATTCCAGCCCAAGTTTCCTACTTCCCTGGGGAGCATTCTCATCATCAAACCACAGGCCAGTTGAGAGTAGTGTCACTTCCTTCTCTTAACTTTTTGCCATGCCAGGAAAAATCAAAACTCAGTGTGCCTAAGAAAAGGAGTGAGAGGAAGCATGATGTCTCAGTCAAGTGGTCAGGACTTCTGTTAGGATTAGCAGGATGAGTAAAGACTTAGAGTCTGCTGATGTTTCATCCTCTGTTGTTTTGTTTATTGTTTTCTCATGCGTTTGAACTTGATGTTCTTCCTGAGGTTATCAATGTTGTCAGGATGTTTTCTTAAGTGTGGAATATGTGCTAGTAAAGAAAAGAGAAACTTGGATGTTGTGCAGGTTTAGATGGTAGCTGACTGGGGTTCTGAAAATAACTTTGATGCAGCTATTTTGTGTCTAGCTTCTTGCTCCATATACAGACCATTTTCCTAGGCTGCAGTAACATGGGAATAGCGGTACTTTCCTATGATCTGAGGACATAAAAATGATGAGGTGCTGAGACCAGCAGGGCAGTGCAGGCGTCATCTGTTGATAAAGTGAGTGAATTACAAGTGCTGTGTGGAGGCATCCAGTCCTGCCTCTCAGCAGAGCTGTGCCATCCTGCCCCGTCAGCGTCCCGGGACAGGAAACAGCACAGCACTTGCTTTGCTCTTCCATTGATGCCCACAGCAAACATGCAGTGCTCTGTGAAGCCGGGTGTACAGGACAGCATTTATTCAGTGGTAGTTGTTCCCGTGCTTGTACTTGTTCCTGGCTTTCTCCTTTGAATGTTCTAGAAAAGTAACATTTTCTTGCTTATTTTATGGAGCCAGCTTGCATGGTACTTGTGCCACTTTGTAACAGCAAAGCTCAGCGCATAAACCAAATTTTAGCAATGTGAATGGATTTTGTTTTGTAACCTGATCTCTGCCCATGTGAGAGAGAGATAATTAGAGCAATTATTAGAGATTTTTATAATGAAGATCTTGTGTGCTGCACCAGATTGACTGTGCCCACTCTGTGTCTTTCCACAGAGAGGAACCTTGTAAGAGTGGGTTGCTTTGTGTGTTGAGGCTTGTGAATTAATGACTCGCAGATGTAAGTCTTATTTTTGCCCAGGAAGTATAACTTCATCATTTTCATTTAACTTGTTCTTGTTTTAATCTACTTTAAACCATCCCAAGTGACTCCTCTTCCTGCATTTAAGCTCTTCAGTTACCAATGGATTGCTCTTGTCTGTGCTGTAGTTCTCTTCCATCATGTTTGTCCAAACAGTATAAATGCTCTTAATTTCTCCAGCTGGTCCTTCTGATTCTTAGAAGTGACTTATTTTGACCTGATTTCGATTAGATTTGTTGCAATTTTAGAGTTGCTAACGCATGACTTTTATTCCAAGGTGGTTTCATCCTTGCACTTGAGCAAA